TTCGTTTTTAAATTGAGTTAATTTCCTTTCTATTTACCCACTGTTTGTTTGGGACAAGTTTCTTTACTGAGGCTAGAGGAGAGTAGAAATGAAGCTCTTTAAATTTTGCTTTTGGGTAGAGGCTTATTAAGAAAGATGTAGGACAACTGGACTAAACCGAAGCTAAGAAGTTTACTGAATACAACCAAACACTTTGAAGGACAGAGTAGCAGGGGCGGGGGCCTGGGGACCATGGTTTCAGTGGACATCTAGCTCAACTGGCATAACAGAGTTTAAGAAAATGTTCTGCATCCCACTTTGGTAAGTGGCGTCTGAGGTCTTAAAAGCTAGAGAGCCACCATCTAAGATGCATCAGTTGGTCCCAAACCTCCTTGAGCAAAGGAGGATGAATAACACCAAAGACACAAGGAAGTATTAGCCCAAGAGACAGAAAGGGCCACATAAACCAGACACTTCATCAGCCTGAGACCAGAAGAACTAAATGGTGCCTAGCTACCACCAATGACTTCCCTGACAGGGAACGCAACAGAGAGTCCCTGACGGAGCAGGAGAAAAGTGGGGTGCAGAACTCAAATTCTAGTAAAAAGACCAGACTAAATGGTCTGACTGAGACTGGAGGGACCCTGGAAGACATGGCCCCCAGACTCTCTGTTAGCCCAAAACTAAAACCATTCCCGAGGCCGACTCTTCAGACAAAGATTAGACTGGACTATGGCACATAAAATGATACTCGTGAAGAGTGTGCTTCTTAGCTCAAATAGATACATGAGACTGAACGGGGTGCTCCTGTCCAGAGGTGAGATGGGAAGGCAAAGAGGGTCAGGAGCTGGTTGAATGGACATGGGAAATCCGGGGTGGAGAGGAAGAGTGTGCTGTCACAGTATAGCGGGAGTAACTAGAGTCACATAACAATGTATGTATAAATTTTTGTATGAGAGACTAACTTGAATTGTAAACTTTTACTTAAAGCACAACAATAAAAAATAGATAGTAGTGATGGTTATACAATATTGTGGATGTACTTAACACTACTGAATTGTGCACTCAGAAATGGTTACAATGTATATCTTAGTACAATAAAAATCTTTTTTTTAAAGCAATAGAAAAAAAAGAAAGATGTAGGAAAGAGTAGTGTGGAATTACATGTCACAATGACATATTGTTACTTTCTATAAAATTGGCAGCTCTTGTGTTGCTTCAATTTACACATAGTATTCTCAAATTATACAAGTGCATGTTGATTTGCATGACAAACATGTTACTGAAAAGACTATTTGTACTAGATAGCCTGTTTGAAGAAAAGTATTGGCGAATCCTTTTAATTGAAGAACAACTTTCTGTCCTGTAAAGCCAAGTTTTTGGGTAGCAGATTTGCTTAAAGAGAGGCACACCTATACGCTGTATAGTGAAACACAGACCTTTTGAATTCCAGCCTGAATTTCACCTAAGTTTTGGCCTAAAAAAGCCGGTTTATCAGGATTAGTATCATCAATAAGCTTCCCCCAAATGAAATGGCCAGTTAAGTATATTAAAGTTGAAGGCACTGAAGGTCTAATTTGGGTCCCCCTAATTTCAGTGAGGAGCCCTAGTGTCGCACTGGTTAAAAGCTCGTCTGCTAACCAAGAGGTCGGCAGTTCAAATCCACCAGCTGCTCCTTGGAAACCTATGGGGCGGTTCTACTCTTCCTTTAGGAGCACTATAGGTTGGAATCGACTTTTTTTTTTTTTTTTTTAAGGTGAGAATAAACTCAGAGAAAAGTTAGCAATAAATGAGAGTATTTCAAATTAAGACGTGAGAAAAAGGCTAAAGGAAAGGGAATTTTGTAGCTTGAAGAACAAAATACTATAAGGAGATTTTACGTTAACTTTTACATAGATGAAAGCATATCACCAGTTATTTTCTTTAATATAAGAAACAAAAAGAATAAGTAGCCCAGAGTTATAAGAAGAAAAATTTTAGGTGAGAAAGAGTACAAATACTGACTGTGGAGGTACAGGGCTCCAGGGTAAGTTTCTGAGAAGGTTAGTAGCACACTACTCTGGCTGTCCTCTCAAGTTAATTCCAATACACCAAGCAATTCCTCTAGGCGCTTATATTCATGTTATGCCTGTGATGGAAGCTTCTAGAGGAGGGGGCATAAACCCAAAAGCTTACAAAGACTGGGAAAGTAATATAAATGGATAAATCTTGCTGGGTATAAGACACTAGGAACTGCAAGATACTGAGAGAGTCTAGGTCCTACATAATAAAGCATTCAAATAAAAACAAATATTAAATATTATATAGCCAGGCACAACACAGTTGATTGGCTGAGTTCAGCCCTAGGCTTATCATGTTTTTACTCCCTTCCTAGAGAGTAGGAATTATTCTTTTCTTGTATGTCAGGTATATAAATGATACAAGAGAATCCAAAGTAATTGAGAGGAAGGTCTATGCAGAGCATTATTTACGTGTCTTGTTGTTGTTAGTTGCCGTTGAGTCAGCTCTGCATCATGGCAACCTTATGTATAACAGAATGAAACTGTGTGGTCCTGCGCCATCTTCATGATCGTTGGTGTGTTTGAGTCCTTTGTTGCAGCTATTGTGTAATGCCTTCCAACCTAAGGGGTTCATCTTCTAGCACTATATTGGACAATATTCTGTTGTGATCCATAAGGTTTTCACTGGCTTATTTTTAGAAGTAGATAGCCAGGCCCTTTCTTCCTGGTCTGACTTAGTCTGGAAGCTCCGCTGAAACCATGGATGATCCTGCTGGTATTTGAGATACTCATGGGATAGCTTCCAGCATCATAGCAACACCCAAGCTACCACAGTATGACAAACTGACAGGGAATTTTAGTCAAACTGTTAATTGAAGCAATTCTAGCTCTTGGTTTCTTGTTTTAGTTCTTCAAATCAGCTTTGGGCTAGGAATAAAAAATATTTCTGTGTAGATCTCTTTGAAAGGATGCAAGGGTTTTTTCCCCATAGGTCAAAGGTCAATTACTTCCCTTTTTGGTTCTTGCCTACACAATTTACGTGAGGATATCATTCTTGATGTTGCTAACAATTTTCATGCTGAAAGAGGTCCTGTTTCAAAACACATGGGAGTCTTGAATTAAAGTGTTAGAGTAGAAACAGCCTTCAAATCCAAATCGTCTCAGCCCATGAAAAGCACTGGACTCTTCAAATGTAAATGGTGTTCACAGAGCTTGTTCTACTTATTATTCATAAACAATAAGAAAACATTATGAACCAAATTTGACAACTGAGACATCTAGTCTTTGAAAAGAATGGAGAGGCTTCCTACTTCTTAGAACATGAAATAAGAGAGCCGCCTAGTGGTCAAAGTGGTGCACAGACTTACTGGGCACCTGAGGAATGGTGATTTTACTGTTTTAAGGATATTACTGAACAAGTAAGTAGTAGAAACACTTTAGTAAACAGAAAAAAGATAAAACTATTTAACTGAAAAACCCATTTCCAAACCTGCTTACTCTAGCTCACTTCTTTAAAGCCATGCCTGCTGAATGTAGCTTGTGGGTAATACTGGTACTCATTTATTTAAGTTCTTTGTATTCATACGTATGGCACATCTACACGTTCCCTCAGTGCTTATCACTCTGGACAATTTTAACCCCAAATATGTGTCACCAATCTCGAAGAATAACTTGCTGAATGACCTGCAGTTAAATTACTCTGGAGCACATAGAATAACTCAGACGGACTAAGAAGCCTGATTAATAAATGTTAGATGAGAATCTACTTTAAAAATTTAAAAAAGACCATTTCGGTATCTGCGTATCAATTGCCAGTTAAACACTGGTACTTCAGGGACAGAAAAAACTGGTAAGATTTCCTCCTTGATGTGAAAGGTTGACAATCTAGTAAGGAGATAAACGGTAGGTATAAATTGAAGGGTAGAGATGGTAGACGATAAGGCTGAAAGTTACTTGACTGCTGCAACTTGGAATGTCAGGTTGAGGAGCTTGAACGAGTGGAAGTTTGTGAGCAGTCCAGTGACCTGGTTAAGAGCTATCAATGACAAAGATGACTGGTAGCAGAGTACAAAATTACATGGAGTAGGGAGAAACTAAAAAAAGAAGACCTGGTGCAAATCGCAACAGCTCACAGTAAGGCTTTGAAATTCAGCTAAGTAGGGGCAATGGGAGTTAAGACAAGAGAGATATGAGTATTTACTTTAACTTTGTATTAAAAAAAAAACAACAAAACCTCGGGTAGTTCTGGAGTTCTGCACAATGTCTAAAGAGAATAATTTGTTTCCTTAAGTACTTTTTTCTTAAGAAGTTAAGCATATTTTCTATGACATCTTACCTAAATGATTGAATGGTCCAATCTATGGAAAGGTTGCTAAGCAAAGGAAAACTTGCCTTATATCTGTTTATCACAAAATAAATAAATAAGGAATACTTATTTCCTTGAATAGGAATGTTTCTAGGTTTTGCCACCTTTCCTTCTAATTACGTAGAGAGAGAAGAAGAGCTCCAAGGTTGGGAAGTTGAGCTAGACATGGAGAGTGGAAAGCATCCAGCAAAAGAGAAGGGTGGCTCTTCTTAGATTACGTATTTATAATCAACAAAACCTCTTCACCCTCTTTCCACTACCCACTATTTTGGGATGCCTTTTTATTGTTGTTCCTTTTAAGACTGCTCTTTTTTTTTTTTTTTTTGTACTTTAAATGGTTTACAGAATAGTTTCTCATTGAACAGTACACATATTGTTTTATGACATTGGTTAACCCCACGACATGTCAACACTCTCCCTTCTCGATCTTGGGTTCCCTATTACCAGCTTTCCTGTCCCCTCCTGCCTTCCAGTCCTTGTCCCTGGACTGTTGTGCCCCATTAGTCTCGTTTTATTTTATGGGGCTGTCTAATCTTTGGCTGAACGGTGAACCTCAAGGGTGTTTGGCAGCCATACTCCTGTGGTTTCTCCAGTCTCTGTCAGGCCAGTAAGTCTGGTCTTTTTTTGTGAGTTAGAATTTTTGTTCTACATTTTTCTCCAGCTCTGTCTGGGACCCTCTGTTGTGATCCCTGTCAGAGCAGTCAGTGGTAGTAGCCGGGCACTATCTAGTTGCACTGGACTCTGAAGAATGCTCTTGCTATTCATTTTTACAGGTTAAGGACAGAGCCACTCCAAACTGTATTAGTACAATACTACGTGCAACAAGTTGTTCTAAGACACTTCTTCTGTGTCACTTATCCAGGGAAGGCTCTGTTCTGGAAGCATTTCTAGAAATAATAGGTAAAATGTTTCTGCATAGTATTTTCGGAACCAAAAATTTGAACATAGGACGTAATTAACAAAGCAGAATATATCAAAATAGTTCTATTTTAAAACATTTACAGGCGATTTCCTCCATCAGCTGCACATTCCTTGATTTTTCACTTCTTGGAGGGATGATCACTCCCTTGCCAAGCCGGAACCTTGATCTTTACCTTTCCTAAGCTCAGTTTAGCTAGTAGTTTGTTGGGTCCCAGGATTTTCTTTTTAATCCTGACCCGATCTGCTTCCTCTTCCCCAACATCACTGACTCCGTCCGGGTTCAGTTTCTCATCCTGTCTCTCCAGTGCCGTATCAGTCTCCTACCTCCATGTTTCTATACTCAGACACCTTGCTCCCAGTCCATTACTTTATACTATTAGCTGAACTACCTGGTTTTGAAACGCCTGTTTAAATTTTTTCACTGACTTCCGGGATAAGTCCAAACTGTTAGCACATGATGTGATACGGTCCCATCTGGGTCACCTGGGTTCCTCTTGGCCACCTATCTTCAGTCTTCAACCTAGCATTCTACTCTTATCAACCTCCCATCCTCCTGAAAACTCGCTACCCCCTCAGGCCTCTAGGGCTTTGTGAGTGTCGCTCCTTTTGCTTAGAGGGCCATTGCCGGCTTTGACAATGTGAAGTACAGACATAATGGTAGGCCGATAGAGGTAGTTGTTTTGGTATCTGGTAGCTTTTCAGCACCCTCAAATTGATTCATGTTATGTTCCTGGCTACTCTACCTAATCACTGAACCATTTTTATTTTTTAGTTTCCCTTGCCAAAACTTGAAAACTACAAACAAAATGGAAAAAATATATATATATCCTATATATAGAACAGTGATGTAGCAGAAAAAGTATGGGTATTAAACTTAGACATATTCAGGTTAGAATCTCATCTTTACCAGTTCTGTGGCTTCATGCAAGGTATTTAACTTCTCTGAGCCTCAGTTTCTTCATTTATAAAATGGAGACAATAACATATATTTTGTAGGACTGTTGTGAGAATTATCAACAACATATGTAGAGCAACTAACACAGTGTCTGACATATAGTAGGTGGCCAGGAAGTAGCAACTATTGTTCTACCTTTAGCTGATTTTTTTTTAACGTATCATACTGAGTTATGAAAGTCATATTAGATAGAACACTTACTATTCTAGTGCAAAATACTTAAAATATAATACCAGCCATCATAATTTCTGGTGATCTCATAAAATCAAAAGATACAATTACTGTTGTCATTAATATGATCTTTAATAAATGGAATAATGCACCATTTTACAGCAAGCCTTTTTTAAACCTAAAGAACTGTCTTAAAATCTCCTTCTCTAATGTCTCTCCATCAATACACTCTTTTTATTTAGGTTTATAGATATCAAAGCATTTGCTTACTTACAATTATTCATAGAAAACTCTTTAGTGGCTTAATGTCAGCTTTCATAGTGGCATCCATAGATAATACAAAAGAAAAGTGATTTGCTTTATTTCATACTCACACTGATCCATCAAACACAACTTATACAGCATAGCAAGGTCTCAGACAGCTTATACAAAAGCAAAATAACTGAAAGTAATTATTCATAAATCCATATATGATATTCTATCTGTAATGTAAGAGCAAAACACACCAATAAAAGATACCCGTTAACAAGAAAGAGGGTTCTGAGGAATTGCCAATATTTTTTAGACTTTCTTTTTCCAGAAAAGCATCCTCAGAAATGAATGTTCCGTAGCTTATGTTTCTCCTGTCCATTCAGAAAAAGCATGGCAGCTGCACATCTCCATGTTTCAGCTACTACAACACCCTAACAGTTAGTGTATTTTACAATTATCCATGTATCTTCATTGGAAAAATTAGCAACAGAAAACTAGGGATGATTCCAGCTTATACAAACACTTATACAATATAATCTCTATGGAAGTGAAATGACAAAGCATACAAAACTGTTCAAATAAATAAATGTGACCAGAAAAAAGTCACAGAAGCCAAGCAATTCAGTGTCAAACAGGGACCTAACTATCTTTGAAATGCATCTTTCAGTAATTTAGTTTTTTACTAATTAAATGTTGTTTGAAAATGTTTATCCCTTACATACTTAAGAGGATTGGTAATAAGGCGGAGAGCCTGAGACAAGAGACTGGTTACAAAGGACGCCACTGCTAGGATTTTAAGTACACAGCATACAAATTGGAGCTTGAAATTGATTAAAACGAAATTTCTATTTGGACGTGACAGTGTGTTAAATACACTGGGTAAATTACCATAAGTTACTTTTCAAAAAAAAAGGAAGCTATTACTAAAGCTGTAAGTTTATTAGCTCACTTTTAGAAGAAAGTTTTACAATATTAAATTTCCTCTTGAGAAAATTCTACCTCACAGAAACTACTTTATTAAGTTCTCACATTAAGAAATGTTACAAAATAAAATAATTTGTCCCATCATGTATAACCATTTAACCAACGGACAGAAATGGTTTGAAGAAGGTGCTTCAACTCTAAGGCCTAAATTTGCTCCAACACGTAGCCAATTAGTTGAGTCATTCTTTCTATTAAGTAATTATAGAACTGGGCAAGTTTTTATGATTAATGAAATCTGTTATTATGTCTGTATAAATTATAGCAAATCATAAAATGAAACATTAAATGAACTGTGCAACAAACACTTTATTCAAATGAGTTCAATTGCTTATTTGCTATTAAACTTTTTCAGTGTGTAAAGGGATGAAAGGGGCCCTGAGTTTTTAAGTATTATTATGTCTATATAGTGAGTTTAAAACATGAAAATGTTTCCAAAATCTAAAAGTACACATAAAATGGAAAAAAAAAACAAAAAACCTCACACATGTTGCCTTTTAAAACACTGAAAAAAGTCAAGTTGTAGTTTAAAATACAGTATTTGTTTAAACTGGATGCCCTAATGATGTGATTTAGTTCTAAAGATTCCCTCTCTCATATTCAGATTTAAATATCTGGACTTCGAATTAGGTTTTAAAATTGAATGTGTATGTTTCACGACATTTAATAGTACACTATGAACATTACAGTAGTAACAGAATTGGAATTTTCAAGATACAATATGTTTATTTTGGGCATAATTTTAATATAAACATAAATTCTTCCTAAGTATTTAATTTCAAATTTATCTGCCATGAGATAAATTCCTAAATTTTTCTTTCTATACATAAATGCTAAATTTTAACCAGTCACTTACTCAAAAATTAAAATTGTTATAGCCCAGTCTATGTCGCAATACAAGCATTTCAAACGTGGTCTACAAAAATGTTCATAGGTAATACCTGATTTTTTAGGGCTTGCTGTTGAAAGTGAATCTTGCATTTTAGTGTTTGATATAATATTTGATACAAAGAAATATGTAAAACGTTGTGGCTCAATAATAACACTAAGCTTGCTGCAATACAGATTAAAAATTTTAACGGCAAAATAATGACATACAATTCTGCATGCATGGCTTTTTCGTTATAACTAATAAGAATATAAAATTACAAAACTCCACAACTTAATAGAAAATGTTAGGTAATACAAAACTTAAATTAAGTGCTGATTTTGCTGATCGTCTGATGGTTGAATCCACTGTCAAATGGTAATATCTTAATTCTCAATTCTATCGAACTACTGAACTTAACTAGAGCAATTAATTTGAATATAACAAAATATAATTTTGTGTTTTAAAATATAAATTAAGTCATGATAATATGACTCAGGAGAAAAAAACTGAAGGACTAAAGCAATTTTGTCTGAAGAACTGAGACTTAGACATTGAGAGGCCTGAACCACACTGGAGAATAACAAATGCTGGAGAGGATGACCAACTGCTCTCTCTCTCTCTTTTCTATTGGGTAAGAAAAACAGATTTAAAATGAGGAGGCAGGATACATATGAAGAAAGCTTTCCTGACTTGCAAGTCAGGTAACCAAAGGATAGAGTAAGTCAGATATAAACTATGAAATGATTCAAGGAAAGTACTGGCCAGGTGCAGCAGAAAGCCCTGTGAGTTCCTATTTTCTTGTATATTAATTTAATCTGGGACCTGTGGAACAGCCCTCTTTTGATAACAGCTTTTGTGTAACTAGCTCCAACAGTGACTTGCCAGATTTACTTAAGCAAGGAATACATTTGGTAGGGATGACGTAAGGTAGTTTTTGCTGAAGTTTGCATAGTTCCAGATCTAAAAGTTAAAATGCAATTTTATTGAGGAGTGAATTGCCAGTAAACTTTAAGGAGTTAGCTGGGAAGATAAAGCAATCTGTGAAGTTATGTAATAACTTCCATATAACTGGCAACATAAATTTATAAAATATTATACAGAAATATAATCTCAAGTTCTGAGCAAACTACCACCAGTGAAATATTCATGCCCATAAATATTAAAAAAAAAAAAAGTTAATTGAAATATTTTTCCATTTTAAATGTCTCGAGAGAGAGGTTTACAGAAGCTAGAAACCAGCCTACACCTGGTCTTCTATTTGGCTTTAAAAGCCAAATTTGGAAATGTTTTAAGTAAAAATCCTTGCCAAATTTTGTGATTATTCCCATTGAAACACATACTTACTTGAGCATTCCTTCCTCTCATGAATTCGAAACTAACGTATATTTTCTGGAACAACTGGATACATGTAAGGAAGCTATACTAGACTCCTTTATTAAAAGGACAGTATCCTTGTATCCTTCCTACATCCTACTCAATTAGTTCCCTTGGTAAGTAAGTTTTCTAAAGTCACTAGAAGCAGATAATTTTCCAGATGGAGTCAAAGAACTGATGAGACTGGAAAGTTCATGTTAAAGTTAATTCCTCCAAATCTAGCATGGGATTCATTTAGGAAAAAGTCTCAATTCCCACAAGTTACCTTCACTTTTTCCTTAAAATCTACTTTACCTTTAGTTCTGTAATCTAAGAATGTTAGGAGTGAAGAGAGGTGAAATGATTTTAAGACTCATGATGGCAGATATGGGACTGAATTTTGTCTTGAATTAGTAATTATTTCTCAAGCAACAATCAGCACAGACATGTCTGCATGTCATATGTTTGCCTAACTTCTAAAATCATTAAGATAATTGGTTTGGCTTATATACAAACCACATTTGTGATGGAGCATAATAATGACTGAATTTCCTACAAAAATGTCAGCACAGTACACATCCTGCCATACAGCCCTATAAAATATAACAGGTGGAAATCCTGGGCACTAGTAAAATAATCTTAATTCTAAGAATTCAAAACTACGTTCAGCAAACCAGCTGAATAAATGGTTAAGTGTTGTTAACATCTAATTCATAAGATGGCCAAGAAGAGAAGGTTTATATACAAGTCACAAGCATCTTGGACAGCAAATTGGAAAATTTAGGCTGTCTTTAGCTAAATGATAGAAGAATATGAGTGAGAATCATGGTTTAGGAGATAAACACCTAAACCTAAAATTTGGGGATTTGTGTTTTCCTCTTAGCTTTCTATTTTCCAGAGAAATCTTAGTCAAAACGTAATTAGATAATATCTTTTGCGTACTCTGAGAATCCGGATTAAAAAAAGTGTAAGATCTTTATTGTTCATAAATTGATAGAAAATAATTTGTGCTTATTCAAAAAAAGATGTCCCTTATTTGACAGAAAGTGCTTTACTTAAAAAAAACATGCAGAGTTTGTTGTTTTAGATTATTAATAATGAAAGAAGCAGGGGGAGCTTAAAAAAAAACTGATTTGAAGGATACATAACATGTTATCACTAAAAGGCATACTCTAATATAATGTATATAACAAATGCTGATCACATATTGAAGATCATGTGAAAAGCTGGCAAAAGGAGAAATTATGAAAATAGGATTAGCAAAGCAACGCACTAGTTTGAAAAGAGAGGTAAGTCTCAGTCTGCTCAAACAGGTAGATTTGGCAGCAACCTTTCCTTCCACAGGGATCTGGCATGCCAGTTGAACGATTTTTTTACACAGTGTTTTAGGTCATGGGATGAGAATCATTTTCGGTTAAAGTCACCAGGTTTTGCTTGGGAACAAAATTTTTAAAAGATACTTACAGGTTCAAAACTATGAATTACTTTTGAAGTTATTTTAAACAGGAAATTTAATTTTATTTGAGTCAAAGATGGCCTATTCAGAGAATGAAAGCTGTAATACTATATTGTATTAACCATCTACCTACTTAAAAATTTCATATAAGTATAGCTCTATAAGTTTTGATAAAAATGTACTTCTTAAATAGATGAATATGGAATATGAACATACATATAAAAATAAAATAAAATGGAAAAAAGCTAATATTTGATTTCCTCTATTTTGTTCTATGCTCTCTTATGAACTTCCAAAACCAGAACCAAGTATGTTTCTTAAAATGCCTGGAAGGAAATGTTTACGATTTGGAAGGTTTAAAAAAATGGCATTTCAAATCAGGTTTTGGTGGTTCCTTCTTTAGAGCCCTTTGAGACAATGTTTCTGCATTCTCCACGATAAGGAGAGAGAAAGCATGAAATCGGGTAGCTGCTTTCACCTGTGCAAAATTCACTGTCATAGAACTGACCTGCCAAAAGTATGGTGGGTGGGGAGTTGGGAGAATAATGTTCATATTATGGAAGAATGTATGTCATATTAGGAAGAGAGCTTACAAGAAAGCTTATTTGTGGCCTATAAACTATTGCACATTCAAACAAAACACAAGAGAAAAGAATGTCCAACAGATAATATGTTCAGGTACATACCAACATATAAACTACCTTGTGCCCAGAAATAAAACATGGATACCAGACACCACTGCAGTTAAACCTGTCTTAATTTGCTTTTGTTTTAATGACCTTCAGAAACTGGTCCAAACTGATTATCAGCAATACATTGTTTTTGCTTTTTTTTTTCTTAAAAAAATATTTTGAGACCACTTTTGATACACACACATATAATTCTGTGGTCATAACAGACAAATATAACTTTAGCGAGACTAAACAAAAGTGCAAAACTTAAAAAAAAAGAATTAAAAAATATGGAAGCATAAGCTAAAATTTTCTGCATAGCTGAAATCTATTTAAAGCAAGTTCTTGTTGCAAGGATGGGAGGGGGTGCTGACAGGAGGACAAAGCAGTTTTTTTTAATGTCTTCTGCATGTTTAAATGATGCAAAAAATAATTTCACTCCGTAGGCTTGAAAATATTTCACAGACAGTTCATTCCTATATCTTTAGACACCATGGTTGTGGCAGTGCCTCCTTCTGCAAGGTAAACAGCGGTGCTAGATTTGGAATGAACTGCCCTGTCACTGCCATTGTTGTTGACCTCACAGTCCAGTGCTTCAGTGGAGATGACCCAGGTGGAAGGGCGCCACCGCTTAAGAGAATAGGGAGTTTTCACACGTTTCTTGATCTTTTCACCTGATCCTGATTTGCCATCTTGTGTTGACTCACCTACCAAAAATAAAAATACAGAAAAATGAACTCTATACAAAGAAACTATTCTGAAGTACAGGCTCAGGGTTTAAATTACTTAAGAACAGGTCAAAACCAATGTCTGCAGGAGGAACTAATGGACGTTTGTTAAAATTGATGATGCCAGGCAATATTTGTCTAGGCAAAGCCTAACCAATTTATTTTTGAGACGCTTTAAGTCAATTTTTTTTTTAACTGGTTGAATTATTCTATATGGCAAAGAAGAAAACAATATAGGAAAAACGAAAAACAGAAGAAATTCAAAGTTCTCAACTGTATTCTAAATCCTTTGGTTATTGATAGAGGTTCTAACTTAGCAAAACACATTTAATCATTCCACTTAATGCTCAAAGTGGGGCAAATTTTAAAGGTACCTGGCATATAATATTTTTCAGAATGGCAGAAATACTAGAATACAAATTTTCTAGAAATTCCCTCTCCCCATACCTGACAAGATGTTTTTTTTTTTTACTCAAACAGAGCCCTGCAACAATTGGTCTATGATAAAAGCCACTCGAGAAAGGGGCTAGAGTGTACTAATTATGTTTTGAGACCTGTAGCCTTCCTTTCACCCATTCTGTAGCTCTGGACAACCACAAAACATGGCTTTTTTCTCCTATGAGTGCTGTCAATCTAAAAGAGAAACCATTTGTATAATGATGACCGTTACAAATTTTGTGGCAAGCTCTCTTGTTTTGTGTTGTAATTCCTTTGGGGCCAGAAACCAAGTATCAATTTATTTGTTTAAATTGCTATGGGGCCCACCCCACGATACTACTGGCATGTGGGGGACTCAACTCATAACTCTAGAAAAAGATAACAACAAAAAAACTAAGATCAACTTCACAGTTTCTGGTCACTTTTCTGAATTTTCTCTGGATTTTAAAGGTTTATTAATGTTAGTCTGATAAAATCTTAATGTAGATACAATGATATTAATATGCAAACAAACTTTCTCAAAAGTTATACTGATATCATTTTAGTTGCAGCTTTTCAACTACTGCGTATTTTCTTAACCACCTCTACCATTCACAGCAAGTACGTGAGGTGCATTAAAAGCAGCAGCCTCATAAGGTACACATTAAATTGGTAATTATTTGGAGTACTGTAACACTGACTTTTTAATTATCAATGACAAAAATTTTACTTTATTCTCTTTACAATAGTCTAATTACTTTTGAGGGCTACCAAATAGTTTCTTACTTTATTTCCAAAAGTGGCAAAGGTAAGATAATCACTAATTGAAATGCAATCTGATTTCATCTAAGCAGTTAATTAAATGGTCCCAAAAGACACACAGAAGAGATTAAATGGTGCTTCCACTTACACTGTATACTGCTACCATCTAGGATATTTGTGGCTGAAAGATCCAGAGAATTAGGCCTCTGTGCTCTTCTGGGCTTTGATGGTCCAGGATCCGTTACTGTGCTTGGAACACCCTGTGTAAGAACATCTTGCTCTGAACATGGATTACTGTTGTTGTTATTGGAATTAGTTCGGCCACCTTCTAGGGGTCGCTCCCTCCTGTCCACAAGACGATCCAGGACACCTTCATCATGGCTAGCCTGTTGTTCTCGTCTCAGTAAAGGTTCATGTTCATCAGGACTGGAATTAATATTCAGCCGGGAATCCTCACCAGTGAACTGACTCTGCAGCATTTCTTGGGCCCTGTGTGCCACTGTGTTGGCCGTCTGGCCAGATGGTACTACTCCATTGGCATACTGGGTTGTGGCAACATGTGAGTTAACGTTGTGGTTTCTACCTGCCACTCCATTCATGGTGACTGTCACCACATGAGGTTCTGCAGCATTGATTGTATTCATCTTGGCAACTCCAGTTTCTACTTGTTTCAAGTTTGATTTGTGCTTGCTGCCAAATTTCAGTCGGGGCTCCTTTGTTGAATTTTTGGTGTTCAAAGGCAAACTAGTAGGTCTCTTAGGAAGGTTTTGCTGCTTGGGGAGAGGATAAATCTGAGCAGGTGGGACATCAGGAATTAAACATGCTTGGCCATTTGTAGCCTGTGTGAAGTCCTGCTGTCCAGTCACTTCTACTGCAAGCTTTATGAGTGGGTAAAGCAAGCTAGAACTGGTACTGCTCAGTGGATCTGGCCCACTGAACTGTTTAAGAGAATGTTCCATGAGATTCTCATCAGAGCTTTCCTTGAGGTTCTTATCAACTTCTTTTGGGTCTAGCTTGTTGGTCTCCAAGTCTTCCTCTGTCAGCTGTAAGCAGACAGGGGTTGGCCCAATCGGCTGTGCGACATTTGTGGCAGGCAGATTTGTTTCATCTGAGTATGGCATCTCAGATATAGTGGTCATGCCAGTGCTTGGAGTGAGGCCAGTGGTGTTTGTGGTTGTGTTGGTAGACAGGCTGGTGACGCTTGTTTCAGGGCTGGGGATTCGAGCTTGTGCTTGCTGTCGTTCATAGTTAATTGAGTTTCGGTTCTTCTCCCCTATAGTCAAAGGTGTGCTGGACATCGAATGCTCAGAGGAAATATTCTTCACAATGCTGTCAGTGTGATGGATAGAGTCTTCAATGTATGAGGAAGAAGAATAATCTGGATAAGGGCCAATCTTTGGCACACGCCTATTATGTGACAGGTTGCTTAAAGAAAGAAAAAAAAGTGTCATATTGAGAAAGTACATTTATGACAAATTGTTCTCTCCAAGTTTAACACCTCTGATTTTAAAGTCTGAGCTACTTTTTATTTTATTCACAACCCACATTATTTTAGATGTTATTTAAAATTCTAATTAAATAATCAAGTGTCAATATCTTGCTAATGTGATAGTTTTATATGAATTAAGCCCAGAGAAAAACCTATGTGGATCCAGATATTTTTACACATATTCATTACTTTGGTTTACAAGGGTTAATTTAAAAATCTCCCCATATCATCACTAAATGTATCTTTATGAACTATATATTAAAGATGCTTGCACAACCAGACATTAAATTCCATGAGAGGAGGAACCATGGCATCTGTTTCTTTTGTACCCTCATAATTCTACATACATAGTGTCTCCTTAACAAATATGCTATCAATTAAGGTCCAATGGCCAAATGGCACAAAGAACATAAGCTTTTAAGTTGTTCCAAAGTGCCTCCATTAAAAGGCATAATCTAGCAATAAAGTGTATTTTCCAGGGATAGTCTGAGTCATACAAGTGAAAGTCCTAAAGCCTAGAGCATAAGGCAGAATGGGATACTCAGATAAAAGATTAAGGATTCAGAATTGCTCTCTAGTTATCAGGGTTCTTCACAGTCGTGGATACTTCCTGGAAGTGATGGTTCTTGAGCATCACATTGTAATATATTAATACTATTTTTAAAAATCTGCTTAAAATAAAAACGGGTAGCTTTAATTAAAACAATCAAGGTATAAACATTGGGAACATTAATACATATAAGTGTTTTAGGAGAAAAGCAGCAAAGGAAATTGATGAAGTTATGAGGAGAATAAGGAGCGGAAGAAGAAAAGCTGTTGTACAGCACAGGAAAGGGTGCTGAGGAGGCCTGGAGGGTAAGATTCAGGAAAATAAAGCCTATAGAGAGAATGAATTGGGGATGAGCTGATGAGCTATGATTTAAGGGAACCTATTTAATAGTAACTGGAGATGAGTGTGCACAGGGTAGAGCTGAATCGCAGAGGAGGCAAAGGATGGCCAAAGCAATGGGGAGCATCAAGGGTTTCTTCTTACTTTCCAAGAAAAGTTCAAAAGTACTTAAGGTAAAAGTAGCTGACTCTTGAGAGAGGTACAAATAGCATACTACAGCAAATGGAAAATATAGGGATAAGAGGGAATGGAAGCAGAAGACTGTCCTTGCATATGTATAAAGGGAGAAAATTTATATTAGAATTGTTAGTATCTATCCTCCTTGACTTGTTGATGTATAAGGTTTAAGGATTCATATGCTGAAGCCAATTCAATCCAAACATAAGCAGTGTAAACCCAATTTGTGGCCCGTAGTCCATAACTTGCTCTCAGAAATTAGAACAAAAGAAAATAGCAAAGAAATGGGTTCAAGAATCCAGTGTATTTTTATCTCAGTTTTCTCTTATAACTCTTTTCTGGACACCTTTGTGAAATTTTTTTAACATGCATTGGATTAAACAACAAATTCATAGATTTTTTTTTCAAACATGGAACAAAGAACACAGATGATACAGTCTGAAATTTCCTAGTAGGAATTAAATAAAAACTCTTTTATTTAGAACCAAAAGTCACAGTTCCAACAAAGAAATGTTTCAAAAATAATGTTTATGATAGGATGGAAAGAACTTTAAATTGCCTTCATGTAAAATTTGTAGTATATTCTATAAGAAAAAGCATTTGATAGGAAATGGAGAAACCTTGTCCTCCAGTGAAACAGTGATTACATATATAGGCAAGTTCATGGTTTCATTTCCATTAAAAGAAAAAAACAGCAGGAGGATGGAATAATAACAAAGGATAAATGAGATAATATATGTAGAAGTATTTATAAACTTTTGGAACTATGAAAATGTTTTACCTTTATTATTGTAGGGAAGTTGGAACATTAATAGAGAAAGACTAATTTCTTTTACTCTATCTTTAGATATAAAAAACACAGATTCCATCTTGCCAAACAAAATTCTTAGTAGAAAAATGAGAATATTAAAAGAAAAATGATAACTCTAGATCGTATGAATTAATAACTGCACTCTTAAGCTAGTTTAACAGTATTTACTTTCTGTTCTTTGGTCTCAGTTTCCCATACTGATTGATAAATGTCAAACCCTTTAAGGTCTTACCGCTCGTTCTGCATAGCAGTAGACATTGGATTGACTGTTGGGCTCACAGATTTGTTTCTTTCCCATATCATCATAAGTTCAGCCATCCTCTCCTCAGCACACTGGGCAGTAAGCCGAGCCTCTGCATCTTGGTCCCAACAGTCTTCGATTGTCTCCTTGAGTGACCTCACTGCCTGTAATACAAAGTACGTGTTAAATGGTGTTGTTTTTTTTTAAATGAATTTGTATTGAGCTTTTTAGTTTACAACATGAGGTAAAAGAAAATCCATTTTCAATATTTTACATAGCTATAATAAAATATTTTAGTCTTCGGGGATTTGTAATGGATCACTTTTCTCCAAAGGTGAGGAGCAAGTAAGTAAGCAAGCAAACTTTAACTTAACCCCTTGAAGAAATATCCACAAGAGTAAACAGCTATATAAGGTAGAGATGTTTATGTCATTATCGTTGATTTGGAACATTATTATTTCAATCAATAGCCACCAATTTCATTTCAAAAATAAATTTTGAGTTTCATGGAATTGTGGCACCAGATTATCTTCAATCTCCAAGTGAGCCTTTTCTCCTTTACTCCTAGTCAAGACTGCTTCATCTCTACCTTAAAACTTAAAGGTGTGGCATCTTCTTCTTCTGTAAACTAGTTTGGTAGTATCAAAAAGAGTTCCATTTTGTAGCATTCCTATATATTAGCAATGAACAACAGTCTCCCTTTTTCGGGAAGATTAGTTTTAACTCCCTTTTTAAAAATAGATTTTGTATATTTTGGTGGACCTCATCCTTCAGACTTTTTTTTGGGTTTGTCTTTATTATGCTTCAAACTTTTCACCTGCTCGGGTATTTATACTTCCTGTATCTTTAAAACACTTACTTTCAAACACATGATTTTAGGCTATGATCATCATATTTAGGAAAGACAACTACAGGATGCTCAGTTAAATTTGAATTTCAGATAAATGATGAATAATTTTTTTAGTGTAAGTATATTTCATGAAATACTTTATCTGGGTATTTTATCTGGCAACCCAGACTTCTTAAATATGACACCAAAAGCATGGCCCATAAAAGATAAAAAATGGTTTAGTTTGACTTCAACAACATTAAAACCCTCTGCTTTTGTAAAGAGATTGTTAAGAGAATGAAAAGAGAAGTCACAATCTGAGAAGTATTTGTAAATCATATATCTGATGAAGGAAAAGAAGGGACAAGGACGGCAAATAAACACATGAAAAGATGCTCAACATTATTAGTCATTAAGGAAATGTATCTTAAAACTACAATGAAATAACACTACACAGCTATTAAAAAGTCTAAAATTAAAAAGACTGGCCAGACCAAATGTTGGGGAGAATGTGGAGGCACTGGAACCCCCATACACTGCTGGGAATATAAAATGGTACAACCACTTTGGAAAACCATTTGGTAGTTTCTTTAAAAGTTGAACATATATCCACTATATGATTCAATCATTCTACTATTAGGTATTTACCCAAGAGAACAAAAGCATCTGTCCATACAATGACTTGTACATGAATATTCAAGCAGCTTTATTTGTAATAGCCCCAAACTGGAAACAAACCAAATATCCATCACCAGGCAAAGAGAGAAACAAATTGTAGTCTATCCTCCAGACAATGGAATACTCAGCATTAAAAAGGAGTAAAGTACTGATACACACAAGATGGATGAATCTCTCAAAATAATTATGCTGAGTGAAAGAAGCCAGACCAAAAACAACATACTATATGATTCCATTTATATAAAATTCTAGAAAATATAAACTAATCTCTAATGACAGAAAGCAGTGGTTGCCTGAGGATGGGGTGGAGAGGCAGGAACGAGAGAGGTGGGAGAAAACGATTACAAAGGGGCACAAGGAAATTTTGGGAGTAACTGACATGTTCACAATCTTGATGGTGATGGTTTTAATGGTATACAGATGACACAGACATGTCAAAACTTATGATTGTACACCTTAATATGTGTAGTTTATTGTATGTCAATTACACCTCTTCAAATGTTAAAAAAATTTTAAAGAGGAGAAACAAGAATGGAGAAAAATATAAATAGGCGAAATCAGATGAATGCTTTGATAGAGGACTAACTGGTGATAATAACAGAATAAAATTAATCCAGTAGATATGGAGGAAATAAAAAATATATAACATTTGTGTAAATGAGTTAAGGGAGGCATCATTACTAACACCAATGAGGAAAGACAAACAGAAAAAAAAAGGGGGAGGATAGGAAAGTAAGACAAGCAACTTTGTCATTTTTACCTTTTCTACTTAACGGCAGTATAATGCAAGTTGGGGGTCACTGGTGGGTCATAAAATCAGCTTAGAGGTTTGGGACCAGCATTTAAAACCAGGGCTTTGAACCAGTTTGTTCCAGTTTGAACCCCTGGTGAGAATTTGCATTTCTAACAAGTTCCCAGGAAGTTATACATAAGAATCACCTGGGGATCTCGTTAAAATGTAGATTCTGATGCAGTATATCTGGAGTGGAAATGCAAAACTAAGACTAAGGAATAAAGACAAGACAATTTGTTTTAATCAGGGAAAGAGAACAAGCCAGCATTTTACAGAGGCTAAGAAATGGAGAGTTATGAATTTGGAAAGAAAAGAAAATATGGAGAATGGTGTTGTAGTTGAGCAAATTATACCTAAATATTTTCACAGGTGAGCAAAAAAGCTATTTCAAAAATAAACTTGGGGAGGGGGAGCGCGGACCTCGTACCATCAAGAAAGCAGTGCCAGGAGCAGAGCGTGTCCTTTGAACCGGGGTCCCTGCGCAGAGAAGCTCCTAGTCCAGGGGAACACTGATGAGAAGGCCAACAAAGAGAAAAAGCCTTCCCCTGGAGCTGACGCCCTGAATTTGGACTTTTAGCCT